ATGGGTCGGAACGTAAAAATGCATGGGCAGTCGAGATTCGAAATTATGTGCCATTGAAATTATGTCCCTTCTTCATCGATTTCCCGAAGTTGCGTCAAGTGCTGACCTTGCGTAATATGTGGCTCGTACGGTAGGATATGTCGGCTTTCCTCACCACTCCGTTAAACGCTAAGGAAATTCGTCGTTACTAGTGTCGCTGTCGATGCACTCAATTATGCCAAATCTGGCTACACTGACTTGTTTGTATATTGTATATTATTGTATACCTCGTCTGGGATGGTACAAAAACATTGCTCTGTTTACTCTTTTCTCTTCACTTTCTTATACATTTATTCTTAATAAACATCTTGTGCAAATCTATGAAGAATAGAAATCACAAGTTTATATTGTATAATATTCCGTAGATACAAAATTTAATCTTTACAATAACATCTTTATTTTTTTAATAATATCTACATTTACAATAATACTTAGTACATACAAAGTACTAACTTAAATAAACATACGAATAGGAAATTTGAATACATTAAACATCTTCATGCATACATTTTATATTAATGTGATATAATTGTAATGGAGGTAAATAATAGAAATAATTTACGTACTGGTAAACAATAGTTTTTCTTCATCCTAGTTTCTTTTGATTTTGTACCTAGTACTGCTACAGTCATTTACAAAGCAGTATTTAACCATCTTTTAAAACAATAGCGTATAATTTCAACTTGCACCGGTGACAGGCACTGAAATTTACTGTTAATAGTCCATAGTTATATAATCAAAGGGTCTATGCAAAAAAAAGATCGATAAATATATTTTTATTTCTATCACTTTTTATGATTCTATATACATATTTTCTCTTATTAACTCTTTCACAGCAGAACTAATTACTACACAATGGTAACTTATGAAATTTTTATTGAACCCATATTTATTCGAGACAGAAGATCACTAAGTTTCGTGTGATTTCGTGTTATTGCAGATCACATGGTTTTGTTTACCCACGTTTCTTTTCTGTTGGACAAAGTATAAACAATTCCGCTAGTTTAAAATTTTGTATGTATAATGAAATTATTGAATCTTTATTATATTATAATTAAGCTTTCATGTGAGAATTTCATCTAACATTGCAGTCCTCGTTTACGAATGTGATAAGTCTTATATATTTGTCTATAAGTACATTTTGTTTATAAGTTGTGTATTATTATTGACCTTACGATCGAGTCTTTATTTATTGGATAAATAAAACATAGGCGGAAAGAGTAGTTTCAAAGTGAGGCCATGTTTTCCGACGTATTAACGTATTACGGGTAGAGACAGCAGGAAAATGGCCGATAGCGTGTTTTTGCAGTGTTGCTCGATTCGGTGTAGTTCTCGATAAATCCCTCCACCCAACATACATGGACGTATGTCTAAAAAGGAATTTCCTTTGATGAAAGAATAAATTTCGAAACGGTATGTACAAGCGCAATTCTATCTTAAACATAATGTAAGTTCGTGATACCACAAAACCTTCGTATGTAATTAGAAACCGAGATGAGTTGTCAGGTTTTTCGTTGGAATGAGCTAGTTTCTACCCACTGCCAGCCGAGGAATGTTTTTTAGAAAAGATTAATCCCAAAAAGCATATTCGATCGTTGTTTTATAATATAAGTATTTCGTGACTTCTTACGTGCGTATAGACAAGGTTTCTATACTTTGTCCTACACTGTAACTTTTTGTTCATATAAGAGTTGTTTCTTACGTTTTTACTGATATTATGCTATTATCGCTTAAATTAAGATTAATGAAGTAAATAAGTATTAAAATAGAGTAAATGTAATTTAATATAAAATATTATAATTTATGATTTTTTGTGTATTTTAGGTTACTGTGTACACGTATACCAGTATGGCAAGTCCTTCGCCACAATCGTCCCCGATGCCACCGCCACAAGCTCCAAGCCCTATGGGCCCTCCTCAGCAGGCGCCATCGCCATCCAATCCACCAAGGTAGTCCAATGGGTCCACCCCAGCACCATCCTCATAGTCCAACGCAGGCATATCAAACTGGTCAATCGATTCCATCTGGCGGCCCACCTATGTCTCAATCGTCTCAACAGCCACCGCCCGCAACAACAAAATTATGCATCCCATCCACAACAAATGCAATCGAACATGGGTCCACAGGTAGGAAGCAATATTATTAATAGTTGTTTTTTTTTGAGTGTACACAAATTAAATATTGAAATTTACTAACGAATATTTGCAAAGTATTCCTCCCACTATTATTATTGATTTCTAATGAAATTTTACAGCTTTGTAGAGGCAGCCACAAATAAGCAATTCATATTTCTTTTCTTGTATGGATAATGCATTTTTAAGCGTTAAAGTTATTCTTCGTTCACAGTATTCTAATGCTATATTCAAAATTATTAGATGTATAAAGAAGATTTTGAAACAAATTCTTTATAGTTTTAGATGGAAAATAACGTTAGTAAAAGAATAGATAAAAAATTGAAAGAATTACATTTATCTCTCGTAGTCTAAAAGTTTTTATACAAACTATATAAGCAACTACGTTTATTTTAAATTCACAATTACATATTGTACACATATTGGTCATTAAAAACATAGATGAGTAAATGTAAAAATCTCCTTTAAATAGTAGATGGTTATTAATTTATATGTTTCGCATGATCAATTATGTTTACACACTATTTTTTGACTTAATTATTAATTTTTTTATATCAATGTTTTATTAACTATATTTATTTCTGTTTAAAACCATATTGTGTAAAAGACTTTTGTATATGTAAGAATTTCGAAGATAGTATTAGGGTAGTTCTTTCCTTTAAATTTGAGTTATTGCTGTTAAAAAATTTATATCCCTTGCTTTTGGCTGCTTTATGATCCTACAGTTTTATCAAAATTAAGAGAGGGAGGCGACATTTTGCGAGCGTTTCTTGCGAGTGTTTCGCGAATAAAACAAAGAACTCATAAGTGTAACATAATATGGTAGTTTATAATGGCAATAAAATTAAAGACTAATTATAAATATGAAGTTATATGTTGTATGTTTTATAATTTTTGATACATGAATATTCAGACTGAAATGCAATTTGCAATGTTACATAAACAGAATTATAAACAAACAATTGTATAAGTTTATTTAAATACAATATGCAATGTATTTAGCTATTTATTTGTATACAGGGAAGATAACCATTTTATCAAAATTTTGAAAATTTAATATTGCGATATGCATTATAGTATAAGATTTGCCTTTTATTTAGCTAATTAACCCGTGTGTGGACAACCAAAATGTTCAACATTGTTGCACAAACAGGTTAATCGGGTACCATATCGGGAGCCATAACTTTTGTTTCATATACTTTCGTATCTTCTAGTTTTTCTTTGCTATAACATACAAAATACAGTCTTAAAAAATCTGAACAAAAAAATTACTAGAAATCGTAATTTAATACCATATTAAAGTTAATCGTTCCTCGTATTTATCTTGACTCCATAAGACAAAGTCTACTTTTGGTGTAGCGATGAAAAATCTTTATCTTCTTTACGTAAACAAGCATTTAAACTCACAAACGAATTAGGAAACAAAATGAAGAACTGGATCCGTTTTTCGTGCAATTAGGATGTGTCTTGTAAAAATTTTTGTGCAGTTTTGTTTTTGAACATAAAGTGTTTTTGTGCAATATAGTTTACAGTTTATAAAGATATACAGTTGTATGTGAAAATGGAAGAATTATCGGCAGAAGAATTTGCAGCTTAAGTATCAAGTTTACATACATATCTAAAAACAATTATGAAGTTAGTATATCACAGTAATAGAATGAATATACGTGTATATTTTTTTAGACTATTACATGTGGAAAATGACATTTATTTAATTGCATTATTGGGAGAGGAATATACTTCTGATAATGTACCATTCAATAGCGAGAATGAAGACTGGCTGCCGAAGCCACAAACAGATACATCGAATGATGAACATTCTGACGTGGATTAAAATATTGGTAAAGATCAGATAAGGAAGCAGCACCTACTAAAACATTGGGAGGATATATGGATGCAGAAGATCTTAGTAGTTCATCCCAAAATGTCTTTGTTGTCAAAGATGGAATCATCTGGAATAAAGAACCACCACTCCACGATCAAACACCATCATACAATATTATTCAAGAGAAAGAAGGTCCACATCAATTTATAAAAAACCTTATTGATTCGTAAAGCTTTCAATATTATTTTTTAAATGAGTGATGGTTATTATCATGAAACACACAAATGGAAGGCAATTACTATGTATGGAAAGTACAATAACAATAATTTCACAAAAACGAAAACATGCAAAACTCTTACATTCAAAGAGTTGTGCGCTTTCAATTATTCGTTTTGATGATGCTAATACTCAAGCAGAAAGGCAGCTCATAATAAAAAAGCTTCCATACACAATATATGGACAGTGCTCAACTAGGAGAAATATTATGTATTTCTAATATACAAAATCGAGCTTTGAATCCCCATATAATGAGACACGGTTCTAGAAAATTAGCAAATATTTCTTCTGCTTCGACTTCTACTTCTGTACATTAAGATGCAAATAGAAGAAAAACGATTACCAGGTTTTGTAATATTTGTCGGTCGGGTCTTGCTAAAAATCGTAGGAAAACCGGAAAACGCTGTTGGAAGTGCCTACAACCAGCATGCGACGAACACACACTACCTCGCAAACACGATCACAATTTCTAAAAATTGTTCTATTATTAATTAATAATTTTAAATTATATTGTTTATGTTAATAAATATATAAAAATAATGTGTTTTGTATAGTTTCTTTCTAAAATGTTTATTACAACTTCTTGAATTATATTTTGTCTTATGAGTACCGATGTACACCTGTTGTATAACAAGCGTATCAATAAGTTTGTACATTAATTATTTAAAATTTTTAGTATACATATATTCTTTGTTCTACACACGTAAATGTACATAAAAGTGTCAAAAAAATGGGAATCTGTAACGGTTGTATAACATTTTCACGGGGTCATAAAAAATTATTACAAGAGATGTACAAATGAGTACCCAGGTACTTGGTTGTCTACACAAGGGTTAAAAGAGGATAAATCTCAATTCCCTGAAATAGCTTTTTACATCTTAATGGTATTATCTAACTTAAAAAGGTTTATGTTAAATTTCTATCGATAGCTTTTAAATCGGCACGCTTAAAGAGATCGACCAGCTGATCAGCAATCTGATGGTTGCAAGCTGCTATAACTCTCGGTTTTATTAAATTTAATTCTCCCACCTAAAAGAACGTAACATTAAAGTTACGAATTAAAGTAAAGAATTAATATGATTCACAAGATGTTAAGTCATTCAAATACATAATATATCAAGTGATTTATAATTACTGTATAGAATACATACCAGCCGTATCTATTACCGTTCCTCCAGCTTCTTCTATTATCAGTTTCCCAGCAGCAACATCCCAAGCATCTATACTTTCGATATGATATGCTTCTATTGCACCCATTGCAACATAACATAACGTAAGAGCAGCAGTGCCTAATGATCTTATTCTAAAAATAGAAAATTATTTATTCTAACGTTATTCTTTGAATGGAGAGTGCGATTTAACATAAAAATAAAAAATTACCCGTGAGTCCCTTGAATTAAAGCATGCATTCTACTATATACAGTGACGAGATAATTTGAATCTTTGGCAATCCATGGTTCCATTGCAATTAATGTTTGAGATAGATCTAGAAAATTAAAGATATATAAACACCACTTTAATATTCATACTGTTCAATCATTATTTATACATATATATTATAATATCATTTATTTGTACTATTAATTATAATTATTTGTAAAATACACTTTATTCATAATATCTTACAGAATTTTTGAAGTAATTCATGCTAACCGCTACCAAACAACTTCGTATTAAAAAATCATTGTTGTTATAAAACTGAGTTAAATTTATTTTACAATTTAGAAAATTAAACTTCTTCTTTCTTCAGAACGTTTTTATTTATTGCTTTTTAAAATCTATAAACGCGTTTCCCTTTTCTGGTCGAATTAACTATTTCGATAGTTTTTTGTTTTCATTAAGCTTTACCTATAATTAAAGTTTTGCAAATGAATTTACCTGTAACGTCCGATGTTTTTATAGGATGTCCATTTAGAAAAGCTCCTTTCTGCCTTTTTGCAGAAAAGAATTGTCTCATTAGAGGATTATACACCATCCCAATTTCTATTTTTTTATTATCAGTAGCGCCAAAGAGATACACGTATGTGGAAATCGATGTACGAAATTTGTTGTACCATCTATAGGATCTATGATCCACGTTGGATCATTGGTCAGCTTTGGTAAACAACTTTCTTTCGCAGTCGTTTCTTCACCAATAAACCTACAAATTCACTGTTTCATTTCTTACAGTAAATTAGTTAATTTCTTTCTGTTTTTCCTCTATATGCTTACTTGTGCTTTGGATATATTTCTGATAATTGTTTCTGTAAATCATCCTCTATTTTTTGATCGTATTCTGTGACAAGATCCCAATCGATCCTTTTAATTTTTACATTTTTGTTTAAATTAATGGCAGACTCTATTATCTAAAAGTTAATATTTATTTTACAAAAAAAATAAATATTAGATTTTTTATTTAAAAAGAAAAAAAAGAAATTTATTTTCGAAACAATAGAATATCGTTTTTTTGTCGCAAATTCTAAATTTGGACAAACAATATGTAATAAATATTTTTATTATTCATGTAAGTTTTTCGTAACAAATCGTTTAAAATTGAATTTTTAACAAATTTTTAATGTTTCCTGTTGTAATCGGATTAAACGATTAATCCCAAGCGACAGAAAAATGTTCTATCAAATATAAAACTAAAAAAAATAAGGTGAAAAATTTATGAAATAGTTGTACTTCCGTTAAGATTAATTTAAAGATTTTCTTTAAACAAACTCTTTTTAGCTATTTTTATAAATAATTGTGGCACTAAATTTTTAATCCTTTACAAGAAAGAAATCCGAAAAATCAATTAATATCACTTGGCTTTAAAGGGATAGTTAATTTCGTATTTAGAATTCACTGATCGATAGCTTTGTCTAATATTACATTATATGTTGTAAACTTGTTCTATACAATATGCACTCGTACTTTTCCTGCTTTTAGAACTAGTTCCTCGGCGACGTTGTAGTATTCGTCGATGTTGTGCGAGTCGGTCATACTTATCATCAAATTTGCACTATTTCACTAGTGATTATAAATAACACGACTAAAAATGCCGTTTGCGCGCACGTATAGTACGTCAATAAGTTTCTACCTGAACTGACTGACACTGTAAACGATGCACTGGCTGGCCTATATAGTGACTAGAATGGAAGAAAGAAGAGAGCGGGGGCAAAAGAGATATACCCACATAGGAGGGGCAAAAATCCGTAATGTCTGATTTACCTAACGTCTACGTTACGTGTTGGTTATTATACATGCATAATGGTATTTCTAATAACGTATCACATGGTTCAATGAAAGAACGAAATCTCAGGAGTTTCACCCACTGAATCATACCTAGATGATTCGTTGTTATTTTCTCTACATTCCATGTCATTGGTACTCGAATCTTTATGACGTGTTATTTCGTCATCGGTATGCGATGAGATAAAAAACGAGACACAATTTATCGAATGTTTTTTTATTTCAATACAGGAACCTTTTACATTTTCTAATCTGCGTAGTTCAACTTATACAGGGTGTAAACTTAATCTAAAACGTTGGATCATATGTATAGTACATTTTCAACACTTTTTTTCTTTCGGCGAATAGAAGATTTTAAGACGAGTAACGTTATAACGTAATACTACTGGTAGGAACGAAATGTTTTGTTTATTTTAATTCTAATGGCAATATCGAACATGGATTATTTATTTCTCTTTTCTACTCTTTGGTCAGCTTCGTGAATATTCTGACGATTTCCCTTGCAATGTTTTGATTACATGCTCAATTGCACGGGGTACCATAATGTCGATCTTCTCTCCTGTAATTTAAGCGTGATCTTTATAATGATTATTCTGTATTGTGCGGTAGTAAAAACTTAAATACGTGCATTTGAATAATTCAATTACCTGTTACACGATCGAGGACGACACCGCCCGCTTCTGAAATTATTAATGTCGCTGCGGCTATGTCCCACGTTGAGATTCCTGGCCCTTCGATATAATAAGCTTCTACGATTCCCAGCGCGACGTAACACAAAGTTAATGCCGCCACACCAAGCGTACGAATCCCTTCGAGGAAGAAGTAAATCGTAATAGAAATGCTTTTTTGTCTGATTGATTTCGGAAACATGTACTATTTAAAAATTAAACGAATAGTCTTTCAGAGTAAAATTTTATTAATCAA